GCTGAACAGGATACTGCTCTCCCAGATATTACTCCAAAATACACAGGGCTTCGTTTTATTATTCTGTTTCTAGCTGCCTGGCCCTGCACCTCCTGAATAATTTCTCATTTGTAAAACTACCTCAGCCTTATCTGTCCCTCTAAGCTCTTCCTCTTGTCTGGCTCGTTTTTTCCCCTTTTCTTCTTTTTTTTTTCCCCTTGTTCTTTTCTGACCTCCTTCACATTCTCTCTTAAACCTTCATAACAATAAAAACCCTAAATATATTGCCTCCACCTCACCCTCTCTGGGCTTTTTCCTCCCATTTTGGAGTCTCCCTCCCTCAGCTGTTTTCAGCTTACAATAAAGAACAGAAAACTGGTAAGAAATAAGGCAATAGAGGAAGACAGTAAGACTCACTGGTTACTACAATCTCTAAACGCAATTTAGTTTTACTCCATTCAATTCCCACTAAGATGTTGTTTTTGCTGCAGAGGGAGAAATGAAGCATGAAACATGTCAATACACGTAACACACCTAGACACAAACCAAACCCCGTATTAGATCCCTTTAGTTCAGGTGCAGAGCGTTACTAAGGACACACATCCTACAACAAAGATCATACTCTGGGCTTCTACATGCACTGCAGAAGCCTCACCACACTGACCACTCCAAACCACCTCACCACACCTCACTGTGGCACTGCCTTTGTCAAACTACCCTTGATGGCAAGGTTAGAAACAGAACACACACAGAGAAACCACACATACCTGAATTTTAATCTCAATCCGATTACAGTTCTTACAGCAAAGTTTAATAAGGCCATTAATACTGTTACGGTTGATATTGTTAATCAGTATCATACAAGCCTGCACTGGAATGCAGCATAAAGACATTTTTCCCTGACTGTGCTTGCCATTTTTTTTAAGCTATTTTTGGCTTGTCAGTTTAACCCAGACAGTTTGGCCCTGATGCTTTTTTCAGCCATTTACTTCTGTAATAGTACCCTGAACAGCTCCTGCTTTTATTAAAGAGTGAGCAAGGATCCTCTAGTTGTCTGGGGAGGACCAAAGCAGCAGCAGCAGCGTGGGCAAACACATTAGAGGGATGTTGGCAGTTAGTCACATTCAAGGAACACTCAGCACAGAGCTATGTGTTTGCATGCTTAGGGATTTCTGCTGTCAAAGCCACACTATAAAGATTTTAGCAAAATGGTGACAGCAGACAGTAAATTACACTTTATTTGCTAATTTTTCTCCTTACTGACCATGAAAAAGCTTCTGCTGACTGCACTGCTAACCAGAACACTGTACAGCTATGAAATGGAAGAGAAGGTCAAGGTAACAGCAATGTGACATTGTCAGAATGTTTTCACAATTAATTTTAAGCCATAGCATGTGGTGTCTTACAAACAGGGGCAGTGCCTTATTGATGCTAGCGAGGAACAGGCCTCCAAAGCAGGGATGGGGGCGGGGGGAGCACACAAGAATCCCGCTTTGTATTTCTTTTTAAAACAACCATTTGGTGTTCCTGTGTCCCCTCCTATTGGATGAGCTGCAGGATTTACCCTTCCAAACACCATGCACTACACAAAGCTGCTGTTGTTCGGGTTCATTAGAGCGAGGCTGCAAAGCTAACGTGTCCCACGTCTGTAAAGGGGATTCAGAAGAAAAATGATAAAAGCTCTCAGAAGGGAACTCCTCTTCCCTTGCAGTAACAGTACTTTGGAATCCAAGGTATCAAAGCAGTTTCCATCTATCAATCACACCTCTTTATTTTAAGCAAGGAAAACGCTGTTGTAGGTGACAAGTGCAAAATTCATCGTTCAGAGACGCAGTAACGGGACAAGTATAGAGAACTTTAGCAGACAAAACTCAACAATTTGCATTGGCAGCTGAACAGCTAAAGGAAGAGAAAGCAGGTATTACCCTGCAGGGATCATAGTTTGTATCCCTCTATCTGAAATTCAAAGAAATACAGACAATCATGTTCTATTCTGCTGCAGTGCACAGTTCCAATACTATACAATCATGTAATTATACTAATAGAATCTGCTACATAGCGAAAGTAAATTATCATCCTTCAAAAATCAGGAAAAGAAAAAAGTGGGTTCAGTTTTCTGTTACAATAACACTACTAACAGAGATACAAAACTATTTGCTGCAACTTGTTTAGTTTTCTATGATTAACAGCACTTACTCATCTCTACTAAAACGAACAGTCTTACCTGTACCGCACGTGGAAGGAGCGATCTGCACGCATGCTTATCCCAGCATTACTCTCCTCCATTGAGGTGCATTATCAGTAGAGAAAATAATACTGTCTGTAGTAGGGTAAGTACTTTAGTATGGAGAATTGTTGTCAAAACACCATTCCAGTTAGTATATTAAAAAGTTGGAGTAAAGATATCCTAAGCGCCTGTAGAAAAACCTCTTCTTTGTTATTAAGGTAAGGAGGTCACTGTCAGACACATCTTACACCTTCAGAAATGTTCGTGTTCTTTCATCTGTGGCCCTTTAAGCTCCATTCAGCTGCGTTTCTGCAAAGGGAACACAAGATGCTTGGCTTGAAGTCTCATAGTCAGTGAATAACTCATAACCATTTGCAGCTGATGTAAAAGCATAGCACTGCTCCTATCAAGCAGGAAACGTCAATCAAGAACTTAAAGCCAGAGCCAAAGCCTTCTACGTACACATGGCAATTCCTGTAGGCAAGTGAGAAAGCAAAGGTTTAACAAAGCCCAACACTCTCTCTTCTCTTGGAAACGCTGCATTATTTACCCTTGTTAGTATTCTTAGCCTCATGAAGTTCCAAGCAAAAAGCTTAAAGTACAAAAGCTACAGAATGCAAGGCTTAACATAGAAGAGATCACAAACTGCTTTACATGTTCACAGTGCTGCTGAAACCCTGATAATCAGCTGACAGCCCACAGCAGTCAGAACTGGTGGGCACAATCCCATCTGGAGATGATCCATTCTGGAAATTGTCCCACCTGGAATACTACGAGCACAGTGGCCAGCAAAGCTTTAAGCTCTGTTCCCTTTTCCCCTCCCTGGTCCCGAAAGAACAGGGAGGTGTGGGTGATGGTGGTGGTGTGTTTACACTGGCTTCACATTCCAAAATGCTGCAGCATTGTCCTATCAGCTCCAAACTGCTTCAAAGGGAGCAGCCAACAGTTCTGCAGCAGCCAACACAGACATTAGACATGTTTAGGCTAGCTACGAAAAGATTAGCAATAAAGAAACTGTATTCAAAAGTTTACCCACTTTTAAATATATTTTTAGTAGAGACCTTGACACATTTATTGTTCAGTACTATTATTACCTTCCTTTGGAAGCAAACATACAGTTGTGTAATTCACAAATGCATATTTCATCAAGAGACTGCAGAGGTGTCAAAAGACAAGAATAGAGCTCAGAGCTGTCACCAGAGGAAAACACAATCCTCTATATTTAATTGTCAATGTAGGCCATGCCTTTTCCTCTCATTAGTTTTATCAGGTACCAGCTGTGACGATTCATGCTTGCCATCATACTCCACCTTGACAGCAGCCCTCAGACAGACCATCCACATTCTGCCACTTAAACAACTATTTTGTCCTTCCATGCTCATCACTAGGTTTGGCATCAACAACAAGTGGGTGTGGGTCTATTTTTGCAATTACAAAGTGTGACACCTCCAGTTCACAATCCCAGTGCAGCCCACACACTGGGAGGACTGTGTTACAGGTACGCACTCTCCGGAAGTTTGCCCGAACCTCAGATCAGATAACTCACACAGGCAGAGAGCTGTAAGCCACCCAGTCTAAAACCATCCATGAGCACTCCTGCTGCTCAGTAAATGCAAGGGAATTGAAAGTTCTCTTTCACAGAGGGATACACTCATGCCACAAACTAAAAAGTGTGTACTTTGGCAACTTCCACGGCTCAGGAAATGATGACTGTGGTGATTTGTTTGCATATTTATACTGCAACTGTAATCAACTTTAAAAAATCAACAAAAAAAGCCAATTTAGTGATTTGTTTGCATATTTATACTGCAATTGTAATCAACTTTAAAAAAAATCAACAAAAAAGCCAATTTTAAAAAGCTTTTAAACAAAAAGCCAACTTTAACTAAAAAAAGTTATACTTAAAAGCTCATCAGAACACCTGCATTTATTTAAATATCAGTTATTTTTAGCAGTACATTTCGCATCAGCTTTTATAGCTTCTGTCCTCATACTTAACATCCTCTGACTGACACCACTATCTCCCACCAGCTGGAACCACTACTCCTGCTTTCTTCCCTCCCTACTGGCCATACAGCACATTCCTAGTCTTGGGAGGGTGATACAGACACACCCATGTTGGCCAATACATCATCACAGACCCAACAAAAATTACTGGGTCTGGTCTTCATACCTCACTTCTTCACCCGTAACTCATCAGGATGCCAAGTTACACCTCCAGCCACCCCAACATGTAATCAGTAAGCAAACTTAAAGCAGATTAATTAGAGTGGTGAATTCAGAATTGAGGAGGTGGAGGTTGAACACTTCCACAGACAGTACCTCTCAAGTGTACAGTGGCCTTGGGACAATTGTGCTACAGAAAACTAAGCCTTGTGCTTTCAACTGATGCCCCTGAACTACCACAAGTACCTCTGCATGACCAAGCCTTGCCCAAGCTGGTGATCAATGTGGAATTGACTCAGAGGGCCCAGGAGTTCAGCAGAAAAACCTAATGGATTAACAGACACCAGGAGCAGTTTCACACTGTCAGCACAACTAACAGAGAAACTTGCATTTTTAATTAAAATTTTGCGTAGCTTGGAAAAAAACACTTGGGACTTACTAGGGAAAAAAAATATGTATTAATGCAATACAGCTGCTATAAATTTATTCTCTCCATATCTCTGGGCAATGCAAAATCCATATCCACGTTAAAGCGCTGCTTTTTAGGAAAGTATAAAGAGAATACTAAAGTTGCCTACACAACCTGAAACCACACAATTTTACTACTCCAGATACCAAATGCAGGAAGTCCTTGGGTTTTCTGTAATTTCAAAATAGCAGCAAAAAGCCCACAGAGAAAAGACTCGTCCTCCTTCAGAACTGAAATCTAAAATGGTGTTACTAATTACACAGTGGTATGACACTGAAACCAAAACGGACGCCAGCACTACCACCACCACCCCCAAACCAAATGAAGCAAGGCAGAGGTTAGGCAATCAAATGTGGCAGCCAGTTCATAACCCACAATAGGCAAAACATGCACTTGATCAACTCTTTATTAGGAGAAAATGATGAGTCACAGTTGGGGCTTACCCACCGTGGCTATAAACAGTTAAAGGATCTTCAATTAAACCATCAGTACAAAGCTAACTTTGCCTCAAGTCAATGCTTTATCTAAAATAAAAAAAAAGTACTTTTTCATTATTTACTATTCCATCGCAGATTTATACAGAAGCTTGGTGTTTGCATGATGAAAGTACAGCTCACCCTTCCATTACCGTCCCTGCACTGAATCAGTGATACATGTGTTAAAACCTGAATGAGGCTGACTCTCGAGAAAAAATAGAGAAGAAACCAAGAGTCCTCATCTTTAATTCTGATCAGTGTGTATCGAGTTCCCGATAGCAAAAAAACAATAGTTACAACTTCTTTCCCAGAAGGCTGTGTGCAAGCTAACACAGTAGGTTCTAAATACAGGTAAGAAAAGGTTCATTTCTCCTGTGTCCATCCATTCACATGGGTTAATTCCTCTTGGCTCCCCCTCCACTCCTCTCTTTCTGGCAGAGCAGACTAGAAGCCCTGACTCATACATCACTCTGTTAAAGGCAAACACAAGGCCAAGGAGCTTTTCTACATGCCCTCTGGCATTACCTGTATATACTTTCCTCTTATTTCATAGATTAGGAGGAGGTTTTGTCCTCTGTTTGTGGAGCATGTAGTTGAATAGATGGTTTGGGGCTAAAGGTCTGCAACATGGCAAGTCTTTCAAACTCCATATCCTTCTCAATTTTTCCCTTTTGTTGAAGAGCTGTGCTAACACCTCCTTTAACAAGTACACATTGCCTAGCATTATTTTCAATGCTATCCACATTCACCAACACTAAAACACAAACAGTTCTAATGACACAAGTCATTTCTGCCAGATCATACAACAACGATTCCAATCAACCACGATAACTGAATCCAGAAGCAGTATACTCCTCTGAGTCAGAAAGAAGCTTGCCTGCATTCTTACAGGTTTTGTTTCCTTTTATATGAAAGGCCCAAGCCATAGATAAAAACTGCATGTACACAATGCACCAAGAGAAACATCTGTCACACCAAAAACTACAGAAAAATGTACAACTTTCATGTAAGGTATATTCAAATTTCTGTCCAGAATTTATCTCCACTCACACTAAACACCTTAATTTCACCCAACAAGCAGACTGAAATGCAAATACATTCCTTAAAATGGAATAAATGAGAGCAGAAAGAGATGCCAGGAACTTAGGAGAATGGTGTGATACATGAGTGACAGAAAACATATCCTCACTGTTGGTATATTTACAGTACTGTCATAGTTCTAGACTAATTCTATTAACTTTATTAAATGCAAAGATGCCCTAGGAGGCATAGTAAAGATATAGTATAGTTTGTACATAGAAATACTTGATGCATCTGGTGATGATGCCATTTAGTTAATAGTCCTAGAATGTACTGTAGACAAAACCAAACAGTTAGCACACACAATTCCACTCAGAAGAGTAACACAAAGAAGCAAGAAATTCACATACTAGACTGGTGCCAGTGTACAGTGATGCAGAGGAGGCCCTTTCAGTGCTTCCATCACAGAGCATCTTTCCAGAATAGCACATCCTGTTTTCTAGGAGAATCGGTATTTAGCTGGAAAACAGCTTGCTACTTAATGTATATAATTACTGTCAGTGTGCAGGCTAAAGAACCTGGTGTAGCTAACACAAGTAACCACAAGTATTGTTATTGTAGAGCTATTTCTGCACATAGTTAATGTAAATCATCTATTTAAATCCTGAACTAAGGCAATCCCACACTATGACAAAATAAGAAAGGAAGAGATGATCAAGTGCCAGCAGAACACAACCAGTTTCCCCATAAAAAACTAATCAGGCAACTGAAAACTAATTCTAAATGCAGAAAGACTAAGATTTTAGATACAAGAAGTCAACAGAATAACATCCTCTTTGCCTTAAAACAGAGCAAAGTCAGAATAGCTAATAATATTAGGATTCCTTCATTTATTTTTTGTAAGAACAACTTCCAATATTTTACATATTGTCATTCACAGACTGAAAACAAATATTGTGCTGCCTTCTTTCCAAGAATCCCACAACTGGGGGTGAGATTTGCAGTTCTGAAGGGCTTAAATGCCACAACAGACTTCAATGACAGTTCAGAACAAACTAATAACTTGTGATCCTTTTATTCATAGCCTAAGTTGAAATTATATCACCACAAAATCAGTAAGAGTTTTGTTGCCAAGTCCTGAAGGTAAATTTGAACACTGATCCTTTGGGACAATCTC